ATGTTATAAAGTTTAATGTATCTAGTTTTAAGTATAGCTACAATAACTAATGTGATTTCAGGTATTACTGTAAATCAGTTGGCATGAACTGCAAAATCGTAACCATTTAAAAACCTTAAAAACCTTTGTATTGTTTATGATGGAGGACATGTGAAAACTTAAATAGAATTTCAATAAAACCTTAAAAAAATATAGATTTACTTCTTTCTAATTCATTTTACAAATTATTTCTATCGCAAATACAAATAAAGGTATCTATTTTTTAAAGTGCACACGCACATTATGGAAGCCCTGTACTTCTACCTATGATAGCTAAGAAGTCTTGTATACGGTGATATTTAGAATGAAACACACACCTACAAAGGCACACCAATAAAATATCTCCCTCTTTCTCTTTACCGTCCTGGGTATGACGATAAAATACATCCGCGTCTTGAGTAAGACGATGAACTACATCCGCGTCCTGGGTAAGACGATAAACCTCATCCATCTGATCAGGAGGTTTTGAGGAGCGTGGAATCATTTCTTAAATGCTGCCTTTTCTAGGTCACCCTGACCCGTGGTGGTGTCGGATGTTCGTGTCTCAGTTATGGGCAAATAGTTAACCCACAAACTGCACGAACGAGGAGCGTCCTGGGATCTGAAGTTAATATTTGAAAGTGGTCTTCGTGAAAAGCTGTTTCTACATCCGCGTCCTGGGTAAGACGATAAACTACGTCCAACAGCAAGGCCTCTGATCAGGAGGCTTGAGGAACGTAGAACCACAACTTAATTGCTGGCATCCCCTGATCCGGCGTGGTAGCACCTGTTAGGGTCCCAGTTATGGGCAAATAGTTGACAGCGAAACTTTTGTAAAAATGTTTTAATGCTATAAATACTTTGTAATAAAAAATATTACCAGCAATAATTTCTGAAGGAAAAATTATTATCACAAATATTTTTTAAAAGTACTAGCAATACAAACAGCTATACATTCTTTTTTAAAAAATATTAGATTTCTTCAAGGAAAAATATTCCCAGAAATAGATTTCTTGTCGGTATTAAATAACCCATTGATATGCCATTAAACAAACCAGACCAAGCCAAACCAATCTTTTTTCTTTATATATATATATATATATATATATATATATATATATATATATATATTGATGACATGGAGAAAAAATAATCAATCAACAATTACTAAAATAATTTTCAGCAAAATATAACCATCAAATGTAATTGTAGACAGAAAACTTGACAACAAGTGTTTAGCCAATAACAAAATATAAAAAGCCTTGACACAGACGAAGATGTGTATATAGGTGCTACAGGAAAAAAGCTAAAAGAAAGATATTACAAATACAAAATATCCTTGGATAAAAAAAGACATACACAAACAAGACAGCATTATTAACAACATTAATACAACAATATTAAGAGTAAAAACTATGCGCAGAGGAAAAATTAATAATACGTAGTTTGGAAACCAAAATAAACTCTTGAACAAGAAAACTGAAATAATTGGTAAATAAACGTTTACTTTGCAATCTAATTACTAAATAAAAATACATAAATTAATAAAATAAAGAAATCAAACAGATATAAAATAAACCTAAAACCAAATAAATAGATAAATGAAATTAAATAGATAAATAAAAATAAATAAATAAAATAAAAAATATATTAAATTAAATTAAAGATTTTAAATAAACATAAAATCGAATAAACGAACAAATGGAATAAATATACAAATGTTTACGTGTATTTATGCATATATATATATATATATATATATATATGTGTGTGTGTGTGTGTGTGTGTGTGTGTGTGTGTGTGTGTGTGTGTGTGTGTGTGTGTGTGTGTAAAAAGAAAGAACAGTAAAATATATAATCCGGTGTTCTTATAGATATTTTTATTTTTATTTTTTATTTTTATTTTTACAAAATAGTGCTCAATGTAAATTTACAGAGCATTATAATTATAAATTAATTGATTTAAAATATGTTTTTTTTGCTACACAGTTCTAACCATGTTTCAAAAATGGAAGCTAAAAGTTTTGAATTTAATTTTGTACTTAAATTAAAGACATAAGTTCCATTTCATCATCATGCTACAACAAAATACAGCGATAATGAACACGCAACCACCCCTTGTCTGGATGAATGGATTTCTCTGCATCCTTGGAAACGTGAATTATGAATTTTTGCAATGCCTTGAAAACCCAAATTCGCTTGAGTATGAAATGGAATTAATGTCTTTAATTTAATTACGAAATTAAATTCGAAGCTTTTAGCTTCCATTTTTGAAACGTGGTTAGAACTGTGTAGCGAAAAAAATCATATTTTAAATCAATTACGTTAATAATATATATATATATATATATATATATATATATATATATATATATATATGTAATAGGACGAAAACAATATAAATTAAAACTTTTATGACATTAATTTATAAAACGGCTTAATACAAGAATAGAGCAATAAATAATCATTTTAAACTGAGACAATAGTACAAAATGCAAATAAACATAAACACACATAAAAACAACAACAGATCTAACCTTCCATAAACTACATTAATATTTAAGATAATAACAAGTCAAAAAACAAAAAAAAACTATTAGAAACTATATAAACAAATATTTATATTACTATTTAAATTTATATTTCAATTAGGAACATATAAACATTTATATTACTACGTAAACATTAATTAAATATGTGTGTGCATATGCCTGCGTACGAGTCTGTTCACACACACGCCTATATACACACACACGCACAGACACACACACACATTTAGATGTGTGTGTGTGTGTGTGTGTGTGTGTGTGTGTGTGTGTGTGTGTGTGTGTGTGTGTGTGTGTGTGATTGCCACACACACGAAAGTATGTGTTTTGGTTGCGTACGTATGTGTATGTATGTATATTACATATATTACATAGATATACATAGATATATTCAAACAAAAAATGCATACACACGCAATCACGCACGCAAACACACACACACACACACACATATATATATATATATATATATATATATATATCTTTTTTCTGTTTGAAATAATTCCTCTACAAAAAACAATGTAGTGTATCAATTTAAATCCCCGTTAATAATAAACACACTACATATATTGGTTTTACTACAATCACGTTTTTGCCGTAGACTTCCCTGTCACCTTTCGGATCTTAGTCGTATTAAATAACATTTCTTAGAAAAACATAACAATGCACATAATATTAGATAGATATTAGTTGATAATAATACCCACACAACAAAAGGAACGTTCAGATGTTGCAGGCTATCTACATTAATACAAAGCAAGAGATTTTAGGCCTAAGCCATTGGCGCATAGCAGGGATGAAGGCGAATTTAGGCCAGTGACTAGAAAACTCGATTCGTCTTAACGAAGAGTCTTGCATTTGGTTGCGTAAATGTGTGTTTGTATGTATTTTTCATACCTTACATAGATATATTAAAACAACAAAGAAAATGGATCTATAAAACTACCCAACTATAATTAATATCCTAAAACTTGATTTACCCCAAACCAAAATAAGAAAATAGAAAACTCTTTAAGATATAAATAGGGAGACCAGCGGGGGTGGAGGCTGTTTAAGAACTCCACTGGAAAGTTCGCTATACAGCGGGTTCTGGAGTTCTGTCAATGGATTTGTAAACGTGCAACACCCCTGGCACAGTTTCCAGAAGCTGTCTATTAAGGGTTGTCACAGTGTTGTTTTTTGGGGGCAAGAATTGCCCGCCCAGCAAGCCACTCAATATTGTTGTAGTTGGTTTGAAGATCAGGAAAAACTGATGGCCGGAGTGTTGCTGGCGTTGTGATCACTGTAGACAACCCTTGGACGTTTACAAATCCATTAGTGTCCGCTGGAATAATACCTTCACCAAGGGCTAATAATGAATTCGAAAGTTCGGCGGACCCAACATCGCCAATTAGGTGTGCACGCATGTTGGTGCTAAGGTGCAATGGTCTAACAGTGGGCTAAAGTTGTGACGATTTCAAGCACGCTTGAATCGCGTCGGCCATTGTCCCCTTAGGTACAACGGGGAGGGTCTGGCGAAAGTCACCGGATAGAAGGACAGCTATACCTCCCATAAGGTCATCGGATTTTCGAATATTCTTCAGAGAGCGGTTTACAGGATCGAGTGCAGTTTTGGGACTGACAGTGCACTCATCCCAGACGATGAGCTTACATCGCCTGAGTACCTCCGCTAGACGTGATTGCTTGGCTATACTGCATACAGCTGTTTCTGTCTTAATCAGGTCAAGCGGAAGTTTAAACGTTGAGTGCATTGTTCGGCTACCCGGTAGTAATGTGGCAGCAATGCCTGAAGACGCTACTGCTAGCGCCACTTCGCCATGGCGCCGAATTTCTGTTTTGTTACGAACGTTTTTCCCTTTCCCCCATGCGCGTTCATGAAGAAACTTGATCCTGTATCCTGTCTGGTGGATGCAAGAACCGCATCGTAAGCGGCCCTTTTGTCTATGAGAAGTTTTGGCTCATTTGTTGTGACATAGGCGTTGAGCTCCTCAACAGAGTAGGAGGTCTCCCGCACAATATCAGGTGAGAGACTGGAGGAAGCCACACGATCTGGCGTTGGAAGCCAAATAGCGGCGAGAGATCCCCCCATTTCAACAAACAGGTTCTCAGTGATTATAGGCGCCCTGTTGTAAATTTCATCGTTGAATATAAGAGGCATTGTTGGACACAGCAGTTGCGCTTCTCTGCGTAAGTCTTGGGACAAAAAGTCTTTGTATTTGTTAAGTTATTGTAGCTCGTTGGACCACTAACTTCGTGCAAAAGGAGTCGCAAGTAAAAACATTCCTGTCGCGATGGGGGAACCGTGAATACCCTTCCGAGTGTGGCGTCTTTTTTTACGCCTGGATAACCCTCGACGTTGGTCCCGCACTTCCGCCAAGCCCAGGTGTTCTTTTTGGTTCACAGATAGTATGATGGCACGTCTGGGTACAGTAGAGTCCTAGCAAACTCGTCCTGTCGACAAAGTTTGATGAACGCTGGAGGCATTCGTGATGAGCATGCGGTGATACTTGCAGTAGGAGGAGTAACCATTGTCCTTATTGATCTTTCGGTAGATCGTTGACTTGTGACAGCCCATGTCAGCGGCGATCTTGACGTAGCTCTGGCTTCCATCATTGCCAACTGTCTCCTTGGCGGCGGTGACGAACTTGTCGGTCCTAACGGCTGAAAAACGAACATTGTGGGCCTTTTGTTTGGCAATAAACTCGTCCTTGTTCTCACATGCCTTCCACTTCCTCCAAATGTCCATGACCATGGACCTCTTGAACCCAAACCAGACCATCACTTCCGCAGGCTTCTTCTTGACGCGAAAAGTAGCTACTACCTCTGCTCTGCGCTCATATTCCATCCTGGAAAAGGGTAGAGAGAAAAACGTTAGTTGGTTGTCAAACCGCCGGGTATCTGCATATTCAACTTTTGTTTTTATTGCCTATTTCATTTTTTTTTTTGTCAATTTCGGATTTTACTGCAACAAAGAAGCTACTACCGCTGCTCTGCACTCATATTCCATCCTGGAAAAGGGTAGAGAGAAAAAAGTTAGTTACTTGTCAAACTGTCGGGTCTCTGCATATACAATTTTTGTTCTTATTGTCTATTTCGTTTTCTTTTTGTCAAGTGTCCGATTTTGCGCAATACCCTGTATGTTTTCGTCTAAAAGATCTGTTGTTTTATAATCGGCTTGTTACATTTACTTTACGTGCAAATGCAGTGGGAAATGTATAAATCAATCTGTTCTTCCCAATTATGGGCTAAATAGAAGGTGTTATTGAGTCCTATAACCTTGATTGGCAGTCAATCTCCCAGAGAATGAAATAGTAAAATATTGCGGCAACATTTTCCTTCCTAGTCAAACATGAATCGATTGGGATGATCGCCAAAGCATTTATCATGTGAATCACTTAAATGATTTACTGTTGTTTTAAACGAGTCTGATTTTTTGATAGGATACATGTGCACCCGTAATTATAACTCCACTGGAAGACGTAATAAAAATGTTCTTATTAGGTATTTTTTCTGGAGGTTCATATACCTACGAAGAAGTGCAGGTTCTCTGTTTGTTTGTTTTTTCAGTTGTCCCTCTTATTAAACCTTGGATGTACGTTTTGCCCAAAGCCGAGGTATTTTGTTGGTATTTTTTTTATTATAAAATTTGTAATATCCTATTTCGTAATTTGTGTGCTAAATGTTATCAGATAGCATGAAGTTGTATAGGTTTTTTTTTCTTTTTATTATTCCTTTTGGAAACTAATGATTTAATTTGTTTTGTAAAGTGCAGAATAGTTTGTTGCTTATGTAATCGACCGATTCTTTTGAATTTTCTTTGTGCGTATTTAATTAAAATATTTTGGTGATGAAGATGATTTACCAATTTTGCTAGCTTTATCAAAAATATTAATTTTTTTACTTTCAATTTATCAGCAGATGATCTCAGGAATTCATGCTCATACAGAAAGTAAAATTAAAGAAAGGAAAATAGATTTGAAATTTTGAGTAATCTATGTGAAGTGTTAAGAATAATATATCCTTCTATGCAATTTTTAAGGAAGTTTTTTTTTTATGTTAGTACAGGAATATACCATATTAATATTTTTTGTATATTCTTATTAATTGTAAGTTTATTTTTCCATGTCGACGATGCTTAAATCCAATTTATATAAATGAAATACATCTGTAAAGACAATATAAAGAGGAGAAAAAAGAAATAAACAAATAAATATTCAATATCAAAATTTACACACTTTCGTTAATTAGGCAATAAATTACATCACTTAGCGGACTCCATAGTTTAGCTTTCCTTGCACTGCTACCTTTAAGAATATTTTTTCTTGACATAAAGATTATTGAGCAGTTATTTAGTATTAATCCTATTTACGTAAATACTCATGTATAAGACGACTTCATACATAGAGCGACAGCTGAATGATTTGCCTAAATTTTGAAACCCTCCAGAAAAATTAACTATGTATAGTGCATCAAAATGTGCATTATTTTTAACATCTTCAAAATATTACCTGTGTATAGTGCCACAAGTCACTAAATGTGCATTATTTTTAACATCTTTAAAAATTACCCGTGTATAGCACAACAGGTCACCAAATCTGCACTATTTTAAACATCTTCAAAAGATTACCTGTATATAGTGCAACAGATCACCAAATGTGCTTTATATTATACATCGTCAAAAAAGTATCTGTGTCTAATGCAGCAGGTAACCAAATGTGCATTATTTTTAACATCTTCAAAAAATTACATGTGTTTTTAGCGACACCCTATTGTTTGCCTAAAAATAATCTCATGATAAATACTTGTACTATACACGAGTATATGCACTATACACAGAATATGTTGTTCAATCTCGTGGAAGATGAAAAAGAGAATTAGTTTTGTTTGGTTTGTTTTACGGCATATCAACCTCAATGGGTTATTTAATGTCGACAAGATTTTTATTGCTGGTAATATTTTTTCAAAAAGTATTTCTGGCAATATTTTTCCCAAAAATGTATTGCTGGTATTATTTTTTTTCAAAAATGTATTGCTGGTAATATTTTTTTCCCAAATGTAATGTTGGTAATAATATATTGCTGGTAATAATTTTTACTTCAAAAATTTATTGCTGGTAATAATATTTTCTTTTACAAAAATGTATTGCTGGTGTTAAAACTTGTTTTTACACTTTCATAGTTTTATGACCCTAATCTGGGGGTTAACTTTTTCCTGTATCTGTGATCCTAAAAGGCGCTACCACCCCGGGACAGGGTTAACTGGGAACTCCAGCAAATAAGTAGTGGTCCAACGCTCCTCAAATCATCCTGATCAGAGACCTTGCTGTCGGATGTAGTTTATCGTCTTACCCAGGACACGGATGTAGTTTGTCGAGGGACAATAGACTTGAGTCAAGATAAATCTGGTTCTACAGAAGGATCCTGAGAATTTCATGGATGGAAAATGTTAGTAACTAGGAAATTTTAAGGAATAATTTCAACAGAAAGTCGCATATTTAAAATCATGGAAAACAGTTCATATTTCCTGGAATGATAAGTGAGGAAATGCGGATTGGAGATACTCAGAAGACATTATTTTCAAGGATCAGTTGCAGAGGGAGACATCAAGTAACCTAACTAACGTGCTTTTGAAAAAGGATAACAGAGGATAGGTTAGGATAGATAATAATGAGACAAATTTTTGTTAGTCTGAAAAAGATAGGAAATAGTGGACAAAATTGACCTGTGTATAGTACCCAAAAAAGAAATAGAAGTAATTCGTTCACAGAAACGTAAGTACCTTCCGCCGATTCATAGTAATATCCGTAACCTCGAAAAGTATTTCTAATTAATTCGATTTTCGTCAGTTTCTCACAGTATTCTGATTTGCTAGGCCGCTAAAATCTCCTGAGCTGACCAAGCATAGAAATGAATACAATATAGGAACCAGTAATAAGGAGTGCTAGAAAAAAGCGATAATAACAAAAAATTGCAATATGAGCTCTGGTAAAAAAATGTAATGATAACAGCAAAAATTGTAATATGAGCACTGTTAAAAATGATTGCTGAAGACATTAGATTAATAATACCCAGAATTTCGTACGCAGATGTCCTCAAGGATACATGGCACAGTGGATAAAGGTGTTAGAATCAGTGACAGGACGCAAAGAGTTCAATAACTGACAACTGACATCCATTAAACATGACACGTAGAACTATTTGAGTGCTATCAAATATAGCAGCCTTTCTCCATGGTTATCCGTGGGGTCTTCTCCCGGAGGAAAGAAACCCGTTGCCTTTCCTGTCTTGACAAATTCCTTTATTAATTTTAACTTGATAGGTAAGGGTGGAAGTATTATTTCGTTCTGTTCAACTCGAGTATGAGTCTGAATGTTATGCAAGCCATTGTGTTAACGTCCACGCTTGTCTGACTTAATGTTGGCCGTCAGCCTAGCTGTTCCAGAGACACAGAAAACAAGGATACTTTGTCTACCTACCTTGGAACCCTAGAACCAGTATAAGCACCTTAATATCTTCATAGATCAACAATTTGTGCTCTTGGTATTTAAGAGCAGAAGAACGAATGATCCATGCTGTTGTGATTTTCTTTCATTTTTACTGAACGCTCATCAGGGATAGATGAAAAACTATTCCAAATATGTAGAACTGCTTTGAGGCTTCTGCTGGATGAGCTAATAAAAATTTTCCATTCTGTAGCATCATACCCATTCATTTCATCAATCTGGTTGAATCAGTGGAAAGGGGTGCTAACAGGAGATAACTGACATCAATTAGACATGGCACGTGGAAGTAGAACAGTCTACCCCAGTGAGCAAAATAAAGGGTCCAATTCGACATTCCAACTACCTGAAGAAGGCCGGAGGGTACGACGACCGAAACGTTGTGATAAATATGGCTACAAAGATGAGGACAATAGACCGAATAATGAAAATAGTGTACGTAATGCCTCATCTCAGAAATAGAGACAGATACTTAAGAGCCGAAACGTTGTAATAAATATGGCGACCAAGATGATAATAGTCGGAATAATGTGAATAGTGTACGTAATGCCTCATCTCGATTGTAGTGTGCATGATCTTAGAAGAGATGATCCAATGTAAGGAACGAACATTTAATAATCCAGCATGCTTATTCCTCTATAAATAAAAAAAATTGCACGTTTACGTAAAATGTATTCAACAAGAGAATTTTCCTTTATTTTTTCACGCTATTAGAAAGATGTCTATTCTTCAGAGGGTTAAAATATATGTGCATATATATTGTATATATGTATCTCCGTATATTTTCGAATGTTAATGTCAATAAAATGCATATATGCGTTGGTGCCAGTGGACGAAACAGTGTTTGTTTTTAACAAATATTCATTTCCAGTATTTTCCCAGGAGCTTGGAAAAATATTTAAAATATCATACGGAATAATAAAACAGAATAAAAATAAGATAAAGAAAAGAAAACTAAGTGATTCATGAAAATACTTTTACAAAATATTCCTTTTACAAAAGTCAAGAAAAGCAAAGAACGCCATTTAAATGATGCAGTATTATTTTTTAAGAAATAAGACAATGCAGAATATTAAAAATACGAAGAATAGGAAGTAGCCTCATATATTCTTTTTTTTAAATAAATAACGAAATATAAGGTGAAATGTGAAGTGAAATGTCGAACAAAAATGTTGACAATCTTGGATAAAAGAAAAGTGTTATTTTATTTTTGTTTAATTTTAAGCATAACATTTTTTTTTTTACAAAATCTATTTAAAAAATAAAAGAATTCCATTTCATGACGACCTCGGAAATGGAAACATTAATGCTGTGAACAGTGCCACTACGAAATTGTCCATATTTCAGATTGTTGAAAAAATGCATATTTTATTACGGTACTAACGTCTACACAATCTTCACTCCTTAAAAATCAGCATTTCTCACTTAACCTGTGGAAGTCAAAATAAAAAATAAATAAAAAAAAAACTTCAGGGAAAGTTTCACAATAGAAATAATATGAAATAATAAAATAGATTTCTCTCAACTGAGACAATGTTGAATCTCTAACGCAAAGGTTTTGTTTTTTAGAAACATCTTTTGATTAATCCGGAATTATTTTTAGCCACTAATCAATGTAGAAAGGAATATGACAAAGGCATTCGCAGTATAAAAACATTTGAGAAAATAACTGAGCACTATATGATATTTCACACCGCTGATTTATTTGTTCTTTACGGGTTATCAACCCCTTGAAGATATTTTAAAACAAGAAACCAGAAAATATATACATTATTCGGACAATTGTCCTCATCTTTGTCGCCATATTTATTACAACGTTTCGGCCGTTGTACACTCCGGCCTTCTCCAGGTGGTTGGAATGTCTATTCTAGTTCCACGTGCCATGTTTAATGGATGTCAGTTTTCAGTTATCTCCTGTTAATTTCCCTCTGAAAGTTCTCACTGCCTTAACCGGGTATTGTCTCACACTCGTTGGGCCCTGTCACTGAATCTAACCAACGACTTTACCCACTGTGCCATGTGTCCTTGATGAGATCTGTGTTTGAATTTCTAGATATTATAAGCTTAATGTCTTCAGCAAACATTTTTACCAGTACTCATATTGTAATTTTGCTGTTATAAAATCATGTTTTTACCGGAGCTCATATTGCAACTTTGTTGTTATTATCGCTTTTCTCTTGCCCTCCTTATCACTGGTACCCATATTGTATTTATTTCTATGTTTGGTCGGCTCAGGAGATTGTTGTGGCCTAGCATATGTGCTGATTCCTTAAGTTTACGAAATTTCCAATGGTGTTCTTTGTCTATGATCTCAACCTGATCCCACAGAGGGTGGTGATCTCCCTTCTCTCTCCACATGTGGTCAGCCACGCCTGATTTTTCCACTTCTCCTCGTGTTACAGCTTTCTGGTGTTCTTGAAGCCTTACCTCGAGGGGACGCCCTGTCTCATCCTTTATATTTCTTTCCGCAGCTGCACGGGATAGCGTACACACAGTCTTTAGTCATGTTCTCTATGAGGGGGGATCTTACTCGGGAGAGATATCCGCGAAGTGTTGTCAAGCTTTTGAATGTTGTCCTGATGTTATATGGACCGCAGATCCTTTCTATTTTCTCTGATAACCCCTTCACATAAGGCAGGCAGACTTTTTTTCAGAGTGTTGTTGTTCTCCTTCTCCTAAGAAGGCCGGAGCGTACAACGCCCGAAACGTTGTGATAAATATGGAGACAAAGATGAGGACAACAGTCAGAATAATGTAAATAATGTGCATGATACCTCATCTCAGAAATATAGACATATACAGAAAATATATTTAGATTATAAGAATTATTTTTCTTTTGACAATAATAATGTTTTAGTAATACACGTCCTACTAATTAAGCTATAGCTGCTTCTACGTATATAGTCAAGTAATACATTTCTATTGTTAAGCCAGACATATTTAAGTATCTATGTTCAAATCGATAACTGTTAGCGCGCTCAGAAATGTTTAAATAAATCTACTAGAATCAATACAGTGTTGCTTGGGTTTTGAGGTTACTAACGATTCTGCAGATTTAAGCAGACATGCACTCACTCTGTCCCCTTCCCTATCCCTTCACGGCCTTTTAGCTAAGATGGCTTATCATCTCTGTTGCGTTTCTGTCTTTGAGCAGAGAGCACTCAGGGACTTCTCTGTCAAAGGACAGAGGGGCAAATGAGAAAATTATATTGAAGAGGTGTCCAGCCCTGGAGAAGAGCTGTCTGAGGCTGTGCCCTCCCATTGCAGCAGAGGAAGGGATCAGTGCTTGCATCGAGGACAGCTCAACTGACCGTTGCGAGGGCTGTGGGCAATTTTTGTCCCATTGCCCGGGTGTACGGGCTCGGGTCCCCACTTTACAAAGACCTTGTGTCACATCTCGTCCTCGTGGCGAACGAATAAACATCACTGTCACTCTGTTCCCAATAATAACCCTTCATTGTCATCTAGCATGAATAGACAAATATAAGAAATGATATAATAAAAATCATCATAAATAAATCATTCTACAGAACTATTAAGGCTCTGGCTATTTACATATAACGAAGTACGTCTATTTCGTTCCCATGTGAACTTTTAGCCTACTTAAAGGCGATAGAAGTTTTCCTTAAAAATCAGTTGACATCTCGTAAATCTATCGATATCTCTACTGCTTACAGCTTTCAATGTCTGCGCCATGATATTTCTCAATATATTTATAACAAGGTTGTGGCTTTATATGGAGTTATAAATCCCAATAATAATATACAAAGTAGCTGTCTCCATTTAAAAATTTTTTTTACCAAATTCCATGCAGAGATATCAACTATTAATAGAATTAACATCGTGATGCAAACGTATGACGGTATATTCAGTGCATTCCTTAAGGAAACAGACAATAAAACTGCAGTCACGTCCAAATCGGGCGGAAAATGTTGAAATATACAAGAAGAAAAGAATTATATTTTATTAATGTTTGATTTGTATTTCTTTCCTTTTTAATTTTAGTTGTTTTTTCAACTCTTTAAACCGTCGTCTGACAATCATCAAAACCATTACCAAAGATCGAAAGATGATACTGATATTAATGGTAATGGCAACATTAACAGTTTTTGTTATAAGAAAACATTCGATATTCTTTGACCTAGGAGACAATGCTACTTTTGGCTGAGATTTATAAAATCTTCACATCGTCACAGTTCGATCCGACCAAGACAATGTCGTCCGCGTAGACCAGATCAGATTCCCTGACATTCCGACCAACCGCAACTCCCGCGTAGTCCTGAAAGGGCCTTGCCAAGGATGTAGTCGATTGTATAGTTGAATAGGGCAGGGGATAGGGCACACCCTTGCCGCACACCAGTCTTCACCTCAAACGTCTCCGACTCCTCACCATAAGCACGAACGCGGTTTCGCGTCGACCGGTAGTAGACCTTGATGAGACGAAGGAGTTTAGCGGGCATGCCATCGACCTCCATGATACGCCAGAGTGAACTTCTATCAATGGAGTCGAAAGCAGCCGCAAAGTCGACGAAGCGGAGGACTGTTGGTTGCTTGTATGCCCAGCGTTGTTCGAGGGTGCGCTGATCTGATCAACACAGCCTCTGCCTGGGCGGTAGCCACCCTGAGATGGGCGAGTTCGCAGATCACGGATGCCTTGAAATCTTCATCTTACACTCCAAAAATAGATTCATATAACTGCACACCACAGCAAATACCTAACTCGAGGAAAAAATAGAAATCAAATACACCCTTTCACTCCAGCGGCTCTAAAACTGACCGTATGGTGAAAGAAAGGAAACTAAAGCGGTTGTTTCAATTAATTTGCACAAGAATGTAATTGCTCTAAAAATTACTAATCGCTTAAATGCACTGTCACAGTGTAAAATTCCTACTGCCATCCTTTAATCTGCGAGAAGGTATTCTTTGATTTAGAAGAGTTAATCCATTTTCACGAAACAAAAGCAATATCTTTGTACGCGTGAAGTAAAAATTCTGCTACTGCTCAAATATTTGATGGTTGAAAACTTGGATCATTGTCACGAGGAAGCTTAAAAACCTGATGAACATTAAAAGTTTTAACATGCAATCAAGATTCTTCTTTTATGTAGGAAACCAGTGAAAATTTCCTTGACCGTGATACTCGGATTGTTCTATATATCTCTAAGGAGGTATTTTCCTCTCTCCTAATTGTATAACGTTCGAGCTAATTTCACATGTGTAGATATTTCGGTTAATCAGGAAATTCACAGCAAGTGCAATCCGAGAAATGTCTGATGGCGCCTCGTATATATATATATATATATATATATATATATATATATATATATATATAAAAATGAGAACAAATAGACCATAATTCCACTGTACGTAACATTTCATTTAAAAAAGGGCTCAATAGAGTGGAGCTAAATAATATTATTTATTTTAGGATATTAAATCAAAAACATGTTAAAAATGCCTACACAATACAATCATGGTTCAGTACCACAAGTGTGTCTTCTCGAGCGATCTCAAACCACTGGCGAGCGAAAGATTAATTTAATTTCAAAAGCAGAATACTTTTAAAAAATAGGCTTTTGGGTTTTGTTGTCATCAATCAATCCAATGTGACTTACGCTAAATTCAAATTCAACAGAAAAATTGTTTTAAAAAAGGTCATTACTCGAAGTTGTCTGAATATAAATTCTAGAAAATACCCCTATGAACAGATACAAGTTGTTACATTACGTCTTAAGTGAGTCGAAGTCTGACGTTCAACTTTCCGAATAAGTAACAACTAAAATGGGTACGGAGATAATTTAACATAACCAGTTATATGCTTGTTCAGCTACTTACATAAAATTTTTGTAGTTGATAAATAAAAGGCCCATTTAAGAAACTGGTAAATGACTTAACCGTTTGAAAAAAACTATCAAAAATACAGAATTACTTTGCCAAATTAATATGCAACAGTTAAATAATAACAACTAATCGATGTAAGATGTTAACAATAATAACTAAGCACCTGCACATTAATATAAGGTGTTATTAATACTAACTAAACATCAATACAAAGCAATATTAAATCAAAATGAATCTTACAAATTTAAATATAAGTTGCACCACAGTCCATCTACTGATTATTACTATAAGAAAAAGTGTTATCAAATTCAAAGTTTAAACATATTGTAAGGTAAAAGGTAAGCTATGCCTAAAATTTACAGCCAATTCACTTCTTTGGTTTACTAAGGATTTTGTAATTAATTAATGTTTTCATGTAAGCATAGAAAAAATTTAAAGATCTACAGGTTCTAGCTTTTTATTTCAATTTTACCTTAGGAGTTTATTATCTTCTTTTCAAAAATATTTAGATATAGATATATTATATTTATAAGTACTATTAGTGAAGTTTAAGATATGTTGATACCACCTAGTCTTAAGAAAATTCTTAGTACTACCAAAATAAAATTTTTCAGCAGTCGGATTCGCGATTGTAGCCACTTATCTAAGTACTATTCTTATATTAGAGAATACGATTGTTGCGGAATTTTATATTGGTACTACTTAGAATTCACTTTTTTTTATCAACTACAAAAATATTTTATGTAAGTAGCTGAACGATCATATAACTGGTTAGCATTGTGTTAAATTACCTCCCTACCACTTTTAGCTTTTACTTATTCGGAAAAGTTGAACGTTACATTGGATACATCTTATGACATAATTTAACAACTGGTATCGGTACATAAGGACATTGTCTAGGATTTACATGCAGACAACTTCGTGCCATGACCTATATTAAAATATTTCTTCGGGTGATTTTGAATTTAGCGTAGGTTACATTCGATTGATTAATCACGGCAGAGCGAAAAGCCTATTTTTTAAAAATGGTTTGAGATTGTTCAAGGAGACACATTTGTGGTGTTGAAACATGATTGTAATTGTGTAGCGATTTTTAACATGTTTTTGTCTTAATATCCTAAAATAAATAATATATGTGTGTGGAGGGTGTTAATTTAATTTTTTAGAATTTATTTTTAATGAATATTCATATTTGAGTAGAAGGCCTGTTTTAATATCACGATATTTTTTAATTAAACAGTATTTTTATCCACCTGCATCTATCCGTCTGAATATTCTAGATATCTTGACAGAAAAAGATGCCACTCCGGCAGGATTCGAACCTGTATCTACTATTGAGAACCGACTGTGGATCAGACGTGCTTTACCGCTCATCCACATAGGACATCCCTTCAAGGTACTATTCGGGCTTTGTTTAGACGTGTTGTTATAATTATTATTAGTAGAGATGCATTGTCCAAGTAGGCATGGAAAATATAAGCATCATTGGCTTCTTTAAGTTTTGATGTTTTGTTATATTGTTGGTAGTGATTGTCTCGAAGTTTTTAGTTTTTTCTTAGTAGATGATGAGTTTAATTTGTCGTTAATTATCGTTATCAGTCCCTCGACTGCTTCTATCGTCGTGGTACATAAGGACAGAAGAAATAGACAGCCTCCTCCAGGATAATTTGTTGGCAGTGTCTCTTAGGAGTTTTGGCATTGTCATGTCCTTCCATTCTTCAATATAATCTAACAACCTCTTGCGGTGCCATCCTATTTCAACAGTGCCTTGCATGGCCGTGCAGATGCCGTTATGCCGTGTGACATGGCCAAACCATGCTATCTTCTGACGCTGAATATTGGCAAAGAGAGATTACCGACCGCACACTAGATATTTGACGTTGCTCCGTACACAGTCAATGCATTTATATATGCAATCAATCGAGAGCAGCTTACTCAAGCATTTCATCTCGAAACCTTTTTCTGCCTCAACCAGGAGTGTCCAAGTTTCACACCGGGAGACGGGAATGTATATAATCAGCTATTTGTAGTGTTTAAACATAGTTTGGAAACTGATATTACTCTTCCATCTCCTTTCTAGGCTGGCCATCGCTGTCGTGAGGCCGGGTGCGGAATTGTGCATTATACATCATTTGACGGGGTTGCTCCCAAGTATTAATTAATCTGTCGTTAGGTGATATGTGTCTGTGTATTCGGTTTTTATTTTTATAAATTTTGGTCTACTATCTGGTGACTATGTAGTCGATTTTTGCAGAATAACGCTTAAGAGTTTTATTTTTTAGTTAATGGTATGTATTCTTATCTGTATCTGTCTATATTTCTGAGATGAGTTATTATGTACATTATTTACAATATTCAGTCTATTGTCCTCATCTTTGTGACTATAATTATCACAAACTTTTCAGTCGTTATACGCTCCGGCATTTTTCAGGTGGTTGGAATGTCGAACTGAACCGTTTATTTTTCTCACTCGTCTAGACTGTTCTAGTTCCACGTGCCATGTCTAATGAATATCAATCATTAGTTTTCTCCTGTTAATTTCCATCCCGAAGTTCTACACCACCTTAACCAGGTATTGAACTCATACTCTTTGGGTTCTGTCACTGGATCTAACGACTTTATCCATTGTGCCATGTATCCTATGTCGACAAAGATGAGGACAATAGTCCGAATAATGTAAACAGTGTACATAATATCTCATCTCAGAAATATAGACATACACTAAAGGGCCGAAACTTTGTAATAAATATGGCAACAAAGATGAGGACAATAGTCCGAATAATATAAATAGTGTACATAATACCTTATCTCAGAAATATAGACTGATACTGAAGGGCCGAAACGTTGTGATAAATATGGCAACAAAGATGAGGACAATAGTCCGAACAATGTAAAAAGTATACATAATATCTCATCTCAGAAATACAGACAGATACTGAAGGGCCGAAACGTTGTAATAAATATAGCGACAAAGATGAAGACAATAGTCCGAATATTGTAAATGTGTACATAATAACTCACCTCAGAAATATAGACAGAGATTATAACGCTTTCATTATTCATATCAATTAATAAATTCAAATGCTATTTCTATTTAGATCCTGTGTGAAATTAAGGACAGAGTAATCTTCGAATTATGCTCTTAGTTTTTTTTACTCATGCAATGTTGTTAGTTAACATAAATACGTCGTCAGTGTTGGTTTTGCGCATTTTTAAAAATAATGATTTGAGTTAGTGGTGATCTCATGACGATACCGTTGGTTTGTAAATATATACTTCCAAATTTGCGGCGTAAGGAAACTTTATTTTTGGAGGAGAGTGTGATGAGTGTTTAGAGGCGTTTTGAGCTATTGTTTTCTTGGGAGGTACGTTTGTGTAAAGGTTTCCGGCGTAAGTTTCGTTTAGTTTATTGTTTTTCAGGATTTCGATGACGTTATATGCGAAGTTTGTTATATTTCGAGGATAGGCCTGGATTTATAATTTGGCCGATTGATTTGATATATGTTACGCATGTGTAGAAATTTTTGAGTTTATGAGTTTTACTCTGTCTCTTGGTTTTCGGGGGTTTATTTTGTTATTTTTTCGTAGTTCAGGAATCCCATTTCCGAAGTGACTAATCTGTTAAAATGGTTTA